ACTTGTTGCAATCAGCATAATGTGTGAGTTCAATTTCACCCAGGCACTGTAGCACATCATATGCATAGGACAATTGAACATGAAAAAAACATTCCATTTCCATCCTTTTTTGGGAAAGATTTAAGCGTTCTATAACATGGCTAACCTCGACGTATAGATAGATCACAGTCTTAGTTGTCTGGTTACCAGGACCACCGTCGCCAGGCTGAAAAATTATAGCTTGTAGGCCAGATTTTAGAGAAATATTTAGAAGTTTTTTTTGTTTGAAATTGTCAAATCCAAGTAAATGTGTTTTGAAACTTTTATAACCTCCAAGAATGCATTAATGGATTCTGATCTTTATTCTACCAAGCAGTAAGTGTCACTTTTCCACCTATTATAAATCATGAAGAATATGTTGATTAATCTACTGATTTGACCAAACCACGACACATTTCTGACAAATACTGATAACACCTTTTTCAATGATATCACACATTATTCGTCCCCATAGTTGCTGCAATATCGTCAACAGATTGGACTTAGCCCGTATTCTATTCTGTTATTATTACATAGTAATTATTAATGCAATCACGGCACAATTTTCGTACGTACGCCCAAGGGTTCTGTTTAATTTATATGAACAAATATTTGCAGGCGCGCTCGCTTACAGTGTGGCGACAAAAATACCGACCTATAAACACAGCTTTTCAAAATAAAGAAACGACACTCTTAGTAACCTAAATCAATCACGTTTTTTTATAATTGTTAAAAAAAACAGTGCACTGACAGTGACCTTTGTTTATAATCTCAAATTCCAGAGCCACACACATCAAATTTCTCATGATGCATTGGTGCCGGAAGAAAGCTGTCCTAATTCAGACTGTATATATATATCCGTTTTTAATTGCAATACATTCGAACACTTAATTCATTCAAACCTGTTATCCAAATCCTATTCATATATACCTTACTGAAAAATACATATGTATTTAAGTGGTGTAATAGAATTATTGACGGCAATGACTTTGTTGACTGTTCCGTGGAACCATTGACCATCAGGTAACACGCTTTAAATAGTACCTTTGCATGTTATTGGGAAACAGAATACATTGAGTTATAGATATGGACTTGTATATTGTCATATATTGTTACATCTGTACTCAGTTTACTTTGTTGTGCCTTTGAAAATATACTCGATATTTCCACTGTCGATATGAAACCGAGCAAAAAAAAAAACATAATCCCGTTAGTTTAATTGGTGTCTGTGTAATATTGCCCTGGATACTTTCATATGTGTGTTTAAAATACCTGATTATTAATATTATAGAAGATTGGAATCCAGAACAAATTTAGAACAGTGAATCTGTAAGTTTACGATTGCCGTGACGTGCCGATATTTGCAAAATTGTATATTATTTGATGACATGTGCAAATCACATGAGTCGAAGCTCTGGATGCCGGGGTTTGATGTATTGGTGAAACACGTTTATTCTTCCATGTCGATGTTAAAATACGTTTAAATAAAGCCACCATGTATCGCTGCACAATAGTGGTAGATTAAAATAATGTCGTTTTTTTTTTTTTTTTTGAAAAGCTCTTGAAACTTGCTCTGGTTGCTGTTTTTATAGGTCGGTATTTTTGTCACCAACACTGTAAGCGAGCGCGCCTGCAAATATTTGTTCATATCAATAAAACATAACCCTTGGGCGTACGTACGAAAATTGTGCCGTGATTGCATAAATACTTATTATGTAATAATAACAGAATAGAACATGGGCTAAGTTCAATCTGTTGACGATATTGCACCATCTATGGGGACGAATGGGGTGTGATATCATTGAAAAAAGTGTTATCAGTATTTGTCAGAAATGTGTGGTGGTTTGGTCAAATCAGTATCATAATCAACATATTCATGATTTATATTACGTTTAAACGTGGAAAAGTGACACTTACTGGTTGGAAGAATTTTATAATCAGAATCTATTAATGTATTCTCGAAGGCTATAAAACCATACAATTTATCTCTAAGGTGCAAAACACATTTACTTGGATTTGACAATTTCAAACAAAAACATTCGAAACATTTTTCTCAAATAGCCAACAAGCTATAATTTTTTGAGCGTAGTAGCAACATGTTTTTTCCATTCTGACGACGGTAGTCCTGGTAACCAGACAAACCAAACTGTGATTTAT